ATCACATTTTACAGTCTCACAGAGATATTAATCTCAAAAGCTCCTGAAAATGTCTCAAGAGCTCCTATTTTGGAAACTCTCTAAGTTATTCAGTCTTCTTACAAATACTGAATGACCATCTACCATGTGCCAAGCACTACGCCTGGTACCAGGATGCCATGGTGAACTATAAACAGAACAGGTCCCTGATCGCTGGAAGCTTACTCTAAAATAGTGCCTGCCGAATCCGCCTGATCATAACAACTTGAGAGTTTGTTAAAAATTCAAAATCTGGTCCTCTGCCTTGGAGAGTTTGAGTCTGTGGCCTGGGAAGAGCTGTGACGCCGGCATTTTTATCAAGCTACAGATTATTCCTATGCCTGGGCAGTTTGGGGAGCCAAATCCTCAGGGCCATCCCATCTCATCCTCTGAGAGCCACACCTCCAAAGTCCATTTTGCTCAGCATCCTTCACCCTGACCGATACCCCAAAGACACTACGAAGCTGGGGTGGATGTCAAGCATTCCAAAATCACTGTGCTGAGACACCGCCAGACTTGGTTCCTTCCAGGGACCCACAGCTTACTCCCTGTGATTCCACCTGGGGCTGTCTGCACCTGAGTCTCTCAGGGCGGCACCGACACCTGCCTCCAAGCGGCTGCCATCTACCTCTCCTGTGGGCCCTGGGCCGGGGCAGCCGCCGCCCCGCAAAGTCGAAGGCAACAGTGGAGACGTGGTGCTCATTAGGCGCCGACTGTATACCGCCCCCCCCCCCCCGCCACCGCGCGCGCGCACACATACTCTATCCGAAACCCAGCCGGGCTGGCGGCGGACCGAATCCCGCCGCAGAGCAGCGCGAGGCAGGGCATCTCGAACCCGGACGGTGGGGCGGGTTCCGCCTCGCGGCCGCTCGTCAGCTTCCAAGGCCCGGCCCGGCTCGCACCGACGGAGTTTCACAAAGAAAGTCTCCCGGCCCGCGCCCCTCACGCACTCACCGGCGCCGGCGCCGGCGGCGACTCGGGCTCCCGCCGCCTACGGCTCCGTGCCGGGGTCGGCCCCGGTGCTGGCTCGGGCGCCGGCGGCGGCGACTGCTCCATCCCCGCGGGGCCCGGGCCGCGTCCGCCTCGAGCTAACGGTCCCGCCAGCTAGGCGCGCGCGCCGGATCCGCGCGCCATGTTCCCGCCGTACCGCGCGCCGCCGCGACAACCCACACCACCCCCCCCCACAACCGCGCACGCGCGCACTCGCCGCACCAGCTCCCCGCGCGCCTCCGCGGGTCCCCCCAACCGCGCAAGCGCGCACTCGCCGCGCCCCTTCCCCGTGCGCCCCGCCTCGCGCCCTCCAGAGCCGGCCGCTGTTCCCGGCGTCGTGCCCACCCCCTCCGCACCCGTCCGGCCTGGCTGGAGCGCTCGCCGTTCTGGACTTGGCGCCGCCGCCTGCCGCACTGCGGACGACCCCCGGGCTGGCCCCTAGGCAACTGCCCCGCGTTGCCCCATATACTTCACAGGTCACGTCGGCCTTGCGGCGAGGGTCTGAGCGAGGAGGGAATTACCCCCAAAAAGTGCCGGGGGAAGAACGCTACTAAGGTGATGAGATCCCCGTCACGAAAGTGTGCAAGCACGTGCGCGAGAGTAAGTGGCACAGTGAATGCCCATGTCCCTGGGACAGCCAGACTCAGTGGAGAACCTGAGGTCGGGTCCCACATCTCCACTAACCTTTGCGTGATTAAGGTCAGGTCTCTGGGGGCCTGTTTCTCCTTAATCAGGAAGGCCGATAACCAAGGCGTGTTGGGAGGACTCAAAACAATCAGGATGGTGTCAGCACAGCTCCTAGTACTTACTGAATGGTTATCAGGTGACAAGACCGAAGTAGTATTGTGTACTGGTTAAAACCAAGGGCTCTACAGAAGAGAAATCTCAGTTCAAGTCTGGCCTCCACCTCTTGCACACTGGGAAACCATTAATAGGTCACTTGACTGAAGCAGAAAGCCTTGATTTCTAAACCAGCAAATGAGAGAGTGGCAGTAATACTTCACAGGGTTGAGGTGAGCTCTCAGATGATGCACGTCCCTCCTTGAGCAAGCCTGGCAGCACACTTTCCAGGCTTCGCTGGTATAATTCTGGCCCTTTCCTTCCAAGACTCCTAAAAGCTTAAAGAAAGGGGCTCTGCTCCCAAACTCTGTGGTATAATTAGCTGGGAGGGGCTCACTCAACCTTGGGGCTGTAGGGACTGTTACTTCCCACATCTTCGCTTTCCATTCTTTGCCCCAAACCTCTCTGAAAACCCTAAAGTTGGCAGAAAAACAACAGCAGCAAATGTTTTTCCCTACTAGAAAAAAAAATCTCCAAGGATCTCTTGGAGTTTGTAAATGGTTGAATTTATTAATTTGGCCTTTTCCAGATACTAGTGACAGTAGTAATAATAATTCAACCAGGAGTAAAAAAGAAAGAAATTGCCAAGTCTCAGGGTGGTAGCTCACTTCAGGCATAGCTGGATCCAGGTGCTCAATGACCCAAATCTTCAATCTCTTTCAGCTCCCTTCTCTCTTCGATGACCTCTCATGCAGGCTCTCCAGTGTCCCAGGCAGCACCTAGCTCATATCTGACCAGGAAAACAGGAGCTGTTTGACAATAATTCCAGCCAATCTCAGGGCTGACTTTCATTGCAATTTTTTAGGTCCGAAGTCCCTACTTGAGCCAATCACAGCAAGATTGGCCAAACCTGGCTATACTGAGCCCCTCTAGAAAGGAGATGGGGCCAGGGTGAGTGGGAGGAGGGATACCTCCCCCAGAAAAAGTGATGCAGTTATCACAAGGAGGAGGGATACCTCCCCCAGAAAAAGTGATGCAGTTATCACAAGAGGCATCAGATGAGGACAGGCACAAATAAAAGGTGTCCACTGCACCTATCTAGGCATGCAGCAGGTCAACCATGGAACAATATGCCTGTTCTACAGAAGGGAGTGGCAGTTACTTCAGGCACTGGGAAATGCCCCTCCACCTCTGCTCCCACCATCCACCTAGTCCTGACATTTCCCAAGTGTTAGGTCAAAGGCATCTCAATTATCTGCCCATCTTGTGTGTGCCCCCGCCACCCCAGAAACTGATTATATTACGTCCCTGCTCAAGAATTTTCCATGGCACTCTCTGGCTACTTATATGTGATCCTCACGCCTTTAAGGATGGAAGCCAACATTGACAGACCCCTTATCACACACCAGGCACTTTAAATGACCTTCCCCCATTCAATCCTCACAAACACCGTATGAGGCTGCTACTCTTAATGCACGCACTTTATAGATAGGGACATAAAAGTTCAACAATTTCAAAGCCAAAGTCAGGAAGTGCAGAGTGCTCAGATTGGCACAGTATTGTTTTTACCCCTAATGTTGCCATCCCAGCTCCATTTGCTCATTTTTTCAAAGTCCTGGGCCCACCTCCAGGTAGGAAGCTAGTGGGAGGAGCTCCACCAGGGAAGGAACCCCTTGTACCCCTTCAGCTTCATAGTCAGGGGGCAGGCAGACATTTAGCGTTACCAACTCCCCCTTTCCTCCATAACTTCATGGGATAAGGGAAAAGAATTGCCTCAAAAGAAAACTGGAGTGAGGTCAGTAAGAAGTGGATGCTGGGTGGCCCCAAATAAGCAGCTGACATTTTGTATTAGTTTCCTATGGCCTCTATTGCCACAAATTGGGTGGCTTAACACAAACTTGTTCCTATAGTTTTGTAGTTCAGAAGTCTGAAATCATTTCCACTAGTGAAAGTGAAGGAGTAAAGGACTGGTCCCTTCACGAGAGACTGAGGGGGAGAATCCATTTCCTTGCCTTTTTTCAGCTTCTCATGGCCGCCTGTATCCCTTGGCTTGTGGCCCCTTCTTCCCTCTTCAAAGCGGCTCACTCCATTCTCTTCTAACTCTGACTGCTTCTGTGTGTGTCCCTCTCAAAGAAACATTGTGATGACATGTCTGTCCCAGAACGCCACCCAGAAGAGACAGGATAATCTTTCCATCTCAGGATCCTTAATCATATCTGCAAAGTCTCTTTTGCCATGTAAAGGAACTATTCATATTCTGGGGATGAGGATGAGGTCATCTTTCGGAGCCATTATTCTATCTACTATGGTCGGTATAATCAGAAGGAGCGAATATAAAGTGCTCTGGAAACAGAGAAGGGCTGGCTGGCTCTGCCCCAAGAGGGGAAAAATGCCCTTAAGAAACCACAGCCTTCACATTAAATATTCAAATGAGCTAAAAAACCCATCTAACTTGGCAATCTCCACCTCATTCTTTTAAATATGCAAACCACTTAAATCCCCATCTAGCCCCCCCAAGCCCCTGCACGCGCGCACGTGCGCGCGCACACACACAGCCAGCCAAGCTTCAGAATGCTTGCACACCCTTCTAATGGAAATTGCCAACCACCACCCAACTGCCCACGGCAACAGCTGTGTACCCCGATGCCCTGGCTGGCTCATCAGTGGCATCAGAACCAAGGCATTCAGCTCATGGCATGACCAGTAAGCTATAATGTGGCCTATTATCAACCAGCCAAAGATAGAAGCAAAATCAGTGGGTCAGAAAGAGACAAGAGGAACCAAGCATTACAGCTGCCTGGGTTCCTGATGGATCCCAGGCCCAGACATCCATAACCGTGAAACAAATCCCCTTTATCATGAAGTAACCTAAATGAGCTTCTGTTCCTTGCCACCAACGTGTCCCAACTTACACAGATCATGGGGCTGTACCCTCTCACAATAATTGAACACACTGGCATTCAGGATTTAGATATCAGTCTCTTGTGAGTTTTGTCAGTGTGAGTCAGCATTTCCGAGTCTGACTGTATATGAGCCTGAGAAGATGAGGAATATTAGAGTCAGAAAGACCTGGGTTGGTTGGGTCCCACCTCTGCCACTTGCTGTGTGACACTGGACAAGTCAACTTACTCCTTCATCCTGGGTTCCTCACCTACAACATTAGCGCAGTCAGAGGACTTATACCATAGCATCACTGTGAGGACTGGACAAGATCAGCCAAGAGAAGGGCTTTATTCAGGGCTTCCTTGGTTGTCATTGGCTCAACATGAAATGCCCACATGCCTCATTTGCATTTCCAAAATCCAAACAGCTTTAAAACCTGAGAGTCATCCATAACTCCTTTGACAGAAAAGTGACCTGCACTGACAGGCACTTACAGTCTTCTCTAACCCTTTTATTGTGAATATTTGCTGCTAAAGTATTTAAGTGCTTAGTTATAGGACTCTACTAGGTGTTACAAATAATAGAGTTGATGTGCCATGTATCCTTCCCAAAACCAGGAAAATTTCAAATTTCACAACTGTTTTGGTCCCATGGTTTCAGCGACAATGGACCTGTACCTTTACACAGGTGAGGTGAGAATTTAAAACTGGCCTGTGGTATATGGTACCAAGGTACCTCCCATCTCATGAGGACTTTGGTGACTAGCCAGTCTCTACAAACTCCACCCCAATCTCCAACTTTCTCAAGGGTCTTTCAAATTTGTATGCAGCTTGCCCAGGCTGAGACCAGGGATACCCACCTGGTTCCAGCCAATGCAGAGCACGAGACAAAAAGCACAAAACTGCAAATACACAAAAAAGGTGTGCAGCTAAAGAGCTCATCACCAAACAGAAGCCAAAGCCCAGGTTCCACTAGGTTTGGAATTGTGTATTGATGATCGTGAAAAAGCAACTGTCCCCACAATTAAAATAAACTGTAAAAAACAGATTTAAAGAAAATGGCAGCAGGTTCAAGAAGGCAGGTTTCTTTCATGTTCAACCAAAGTTCACGACACAGCAGCACACACAGCCAGACGCTTTGTGGTGTCAGCATCCTCTGCTTCCCCTTCAAGAAGCCGCTTTTGACTTGTGGAAGGCTGAAAGTAAAAAGGGAGAAATGTTCAAAGAAAACCACCGGCTTTAAGATTATCAAAGTGTCCCACTACACTTCCAGTACACTTGGAGCATTCATGTGAAACTTCTAGTACCACGAATTAGGAGTCGTCCCCCTTGACATCTGAACCCCCACCACACCTGCCCAGAACTCAGACCTGTTTACTGAATGGACATTTCTCTCCCTTGTGGCTTCTGACCACTTGATGGACACTGAAAGTAAGCAGCATAACCACCCTCCCTCCTCTCTGTACTCTCCTCCTAAATTATGAAGTTTAAAGGGACTACAATACCTCTTGCTGGGAGCCCCAAATCTTGCTCTTTTGTGGGAAGACCATCTTTCTTGTCTTTGTTTTCCCATTCATAAAATTTCGAGGGGACAGTGGGAAGGGGAGTATTATTCATCAAAAGAAGGCAGGATAGGAATGAACAGATATTAACTAATCCTAACAAAGAATCTTGGAGGAATAAAATTATAATCAATAATCAACCACTTGTCCAGATTACATATTTTCAACAAGTTTAAATCTGAAATTCTAATATAGTCTTCCAATTTTGCCTTACAGGAGACCTCTTGAATGACAATCCCTGACTATGCTTCTTTAATGCATTAAACATACTCTTCTTGTTAAATCTAAGGGTGCTAGAGCAGATCGAGCTGAAACAAAATATCTACCACATTATTCCAAAAAAATATTAAGCAATTGCTACTAAAGAGACCTTTCAAACTCATTCTCCTTGCTCATGAGCTCTTTAACACTTAGCCTACATTTAACGACCATCATCTGTAATACCTGGGCCAGGACTTGGTGTAGAGCCGTTGACTTATTTTCTTCACAAAGTAAATTCTGGAATTTTCTCTTCATGTCCTCATCCTGTGAAAAAGTGAAAAAAAGAACCTAAGTAGACTGTGTCTGAAGGAAAGAAAGCTCCTAAAAAGACAGGGCTGGGTTGCCCCTGGAAAGACAAAAGTGGGTAGGGACACCCAGTCTGTCCACCAAAAGGCAGGGTCTTGCTGAAGCTCCAGGAGGTAATGGGCCATGCGCTCCTCAGCTCTGCCTTCCCGAAGGAGTCTAATCAGCTGTCAATGCTCAGCTGACACTGGCTAAATCAAACCCACATGCCTTCAGTGGGTCACAGAGAACCACAGACCTTAGCAGTCAACAGACTTTCAGAACCAGCATCCCAGATCCTGAGAAAGGGTAATCAGGAAGCCAGAGGCTGGGACTGGCTCAGTCCCCTGAGAGCAGACTCCATGAAGCTCCCCAGATCTTTCCAGGAGGTGTCCCCTCCCCATGCCAACACTAAGACCATTTACTAGGGCCACCCTAACAAAGCAACCCAGCACCCCAGAAAATTCTCCCAGCAAGTACTACACAAGTCACCAGAAGGACTTGAAGCCCACAATATCCCAGAGCTAATGAGAAAGGAAGACAGATGAATAGACCACAGCATTACAGGTGTTTTGTGCACAAGACACAAGACACAAGACAAAACTCCCTAGGTGTGCTAGGGAGAAGCACACCTTCTCCCTAGAGGGAGAAGGGGGAGGGGAGGGTGCATGTGCACAGAGAGAAGTCCTGCCCAGATGTCTATGAGGGTAATTCCCACTTCTGTGAATGTTACTTCTGCAGGTTCAAGGATTTCCATCTGGGAATCCTGAAAAGTAACCTGGTGCAGCTCTCCCCACCTTCAGAAAGGTGAAACATCCATGACTAGGATGGGACCAGCTGGAAGCCCAGCTCAGCCACTCAAAAGTAGCGTGTGCACAAGACAGACCCACAGCTGCCTGATTCCAAAGCCCCATGTAGCTTCCCACCCAACCTCCTCCCACTCCCCTCCCATTCCTCCCATTAAGCCAAGAGCACCACAGTAGGTGGGGCCAGAGGGCATAGGAGTGAAGGCTGCCAATATTCAGCAGTTTGGTATGTATAGAAAAATTACAGTGCTTGAGAATTAACTCACCTGTTCTATATCTAGTGGCTGAATCACCTGTTTCCAACACAGTTTACTACATCCCTCAGCGTAGCGCCCCACTGCCCATTCTGAGAGCACCACGTTCATCTGGATTCTGCTCCACCATCTCCCTTAGGATCTCACTTCCTACACTATGCCACTCTCAAAATTCCTTCCCCTCTTTCCTCCTATTCCTGCTCACAATCTCCACCGGGAATGCCCTCCTTCCTATCCTGCCCATCCATCTCACCCACCTTTCTCATTCAGTGAACAAATACTTCCTGATCGGCCTTAGGTGCCAGGCACTGTAAAAGGCAAAGGGGCCTCCATATAGAGGGACTCAATCAACAATAAAAATGCGGTCCCCCTTTGGGACTAAACTGTGTCCACCTCCGCCCCAAAATTCAAATGCTGAAATAGTAACCCCCAATGACTATTTGGAGACAGGGCTTTTAAAGAGGCAATTAAGTACAAATGAGACTATTAAGGTGGGGTTCCAATCCAGTATGACTCATGTCCTCAGAAGAAGAGAAAGAGACACCAGGGATGTGAGCACAGAGAAAAGACCATGTGAGGACAGAGAGAAGTCAGCGATCTGGAAGGCAAGGAAAGACACCTCAGGAGAAACCAAATGTGCCAACACCTTGAAATCGGGTCTTCTAGCCTCCCGGACTGTGAGGAAATAAATTTCTGTTGTTTAAGCCAACCCGTCTGGAGTATTTTGTTATAGCAGCTCTAGCAAACTAATACACCCACGTCGTCCCCAGGCCACTCAGCCTTTAGAAGCTCTTCATACTGTGTGAACCCATGAATACCTGAAGCCCAAGAACCATGGCCCTATCTCATTCTGAGGATCCCCCCTATACTCTACACCTTCCCCTACTGCCGTGTGTATCCCACTGCCCTGTTGTGACTACGGTCGGGGTTGTACCCTCCCAGAATGTCAGCTCCCCAAGGCAAGGACTTATCTTACTCTTCTTCGTAACCCCGGTACCTAAGTGTTGACACATGAGCTCATTAACTGTCCTCTGAAAGAATGAAAGCACGAAGAAATGAAAGCACACAGCAACATGCCATATGGCAGTTCTTTAAGACAGCCACACAGAACTGCCCACAAGCCTATTTAGGCCTATTTAAAACAAGTCATCAGGAAGCCTGGGTGCTGCAGTTGGTAAAGTGTCTGACTCTTTGATTTTGGCTCAGGTCATGATCTCAGGGTTGTAAGATCGAGTGCCGCATCAGGCTCCACGCTCAGCACGAAGTCTGCTTCTCCCTCTCTAGCTGCTCCTGCCCCACTCACGCTCTCTCTCTCTCTCTCAAAAATAAAATATTTTAAAAAATGATAAATTAAAAAATAAAACAAGTCATCAATTAGCAATAATATGGAAAAAGGAGCTCATTGTATACCACAGGTAGCAATGTGTATCTGCAAAAAACCTTCCTCAGAGATGTCTACAGTCTACTCAAAAATTTAAACTGTAAAATGCCTCAAAGGCAAGCAGGAAGGAGTTCTCCATTTCAGAAAGTGAATATGAGGCCAAAGAGAAGATGTTATAGGAGTGTCAGAGAATGACATAAAGGATGTTCCCCAAACTGAACACTGTTAAGAGCAAAAGAGACTGGAACTCACGTTCCAAACACTCAGTCCAGGGCCAGACCCACAAAGCCATTTGGCTTCTTCAAAACACTGAAATCCTCCAAAATAAAACCTAAGCTATCACTAGCAGATGATTAACATGGGCAGTGTCTGCATTCTCGTCCTCACGGTGCTCATTCCACCTTTTGCAGCAAAAACAAAATGTGGACAAGAGTATTCCAGTGAGACCCCTGTGGCAGGGCTGAACCTCACCTTTTCCTCAGTTGTAAGTTTTCTTCTGAGACAAACAGAACAAGAAAAATAGGTTACGCATGTTCATAAACTGCAGGCGGCTACAAACCCTGTTCCCTGGCCTAACTGGCAAGCTCCATTTTTCTTTCCCCCAAGACTAGCACAGCTCCTCTACGTCCACATCTGGCCCCAAGAGTTTCCCTATTAGGGCACATAAAAACAGCCAAGAGGCATGTTTTTCTTTTTCATCAAAATTAAATCCCCACATGCAAAGCCACCCTTGTTTCCAAATTCCTTTTCTCCAGGGTCCTGCTGTTTCAAATCCGTGTGGTCTATTAAGTGCTAAATCATCTGACAGATTTCTTCTGGGGGGAGACTGCTGTTTCCAGGGCAATAACCCAAACAAATATATCTACTTTTTTTTTCTTTTAAGGATTTGTTGTTCTCAACCTGAGCTGGCCTGAGCATAACTGTTAGGTATGGAGGGCTGGAAGACAGAAGAATAGGGACAGTCTTCCCAGAGTCCCAGAAGCACAGTACTGAGACTGGACGGCCCGGATGAGTTTCTGGGCTAGTAATCCCCAGAGTACTTGAGCCTCTGGCTCAAGCTAGCGGGTTAAGTTCCCCATCCCCACAGGAAACAGACCAAATGGAAATTAACAAAAAGGGGTATGGCTGTGCGGAGTGGAACGGCACTTAACAGAAGGCCTGACATCCATCAGAAAACCTGCCCCATGCTGTGGCTAGTTCTAAAACCAAAGATCAGTCCAGCAAAGCCACAAAGGACTTCCAAGTCTGGCAGCTAGAATGAGGTCAGGGTATAATCCAACAATAGCCACAATGCCCTGGCAGGGACACACAGGCAACAGAGACTTGAAAGGTGCACTAATGGCATCTTCACTCACCAAGAGTAAGTGGGGCCCTGTATGCCCAATCACTTAGGCTTAAGAAATAACCAGATTCTCCCCCAGAGAAGCTGCCCTCCTCCTTCTCCTTCCCCGGCTCCCCTGATTTAAGGCTAAAGACAGCTGGGATGCAGCCCATCCCACCTGGTTGAGGGAAGAGGCTAGCACAGGTGGGGGTGGCGGTGGAGGTTCCGAGCTAGAACCACTTCTCAAAGTACCACGGCCGAACTGCAGACTCAGGGAACCCAAGTGGAACTAGGACAGGCCATAAAGTGAGCTGTCCTGGTTAAGCTGAAAAGGTTGTACCCAAAGACACACCTACACTCATGAACCATATACACACAGAAACATACCCGACACACCTAAGCTCATTCTAAAGCAGGTGCATTAAACAGTCTCAACAAAGCTAACATGTTTCCAACTTCTTCCTTCATCCCTCAGGTACAGCTAAGAGCTGCCTGTATAGTTTATGCCAGCAAGCACTGTCCCATACCCACCTGAAGCCACGGGTGTCTTAAAGCTTCTTCTGTCGTAAAACGCACCTTTGGATCCACTATCAACAACTTCTTGACAAGGTCCAGAGCTAAAACAATGATAATCAAATATCAAATCATAGTGGAAAGGGTGATACATTAAGTCAGCAAAATTAAAGTATGCCAGAATGACAGGCCAACATCCAGAAAGAGAGAGGGGCTAAGGTCATTGCAAGTCAGCAGGTGGGGGGGGGCAAGGACCCCCTCCACCCCCGTCCCTCTCACTCTCTGTCTTCAGAGCTCTCGGAGAACACCAGGAAAGACCACAATGCCCCCCATCTCCTTTTGCTCACACATCACCACCTCTTCAACGCTCCCTGTTCCCCATCTCGTTGCTGGACTCAAGTTCAAACTAATTAAATCTGAACTTCTACCTAGTTCTAGGATGCTCAGGATGCTCGGCCAAGGCCCTCGAGACCCACGCATTGACAGTGAGAGTTTCTCAGCCAGCAACAGGCTCCTTGGAACTGCAGCCTTGGCAGAAAGAAAGCTTGACAGCAAGCAACAAGTGGAGGCTGGCTTTTATATTGCAACAATATTACTCCTTCGACATTCTAGGGTTTAACAGAATCGTCTATGTTATATGACCTGACAGTTTTCCTTTTGAGAAGTATCGTTATACTTTTAAACTCTAAAACACAAAGAAATTACTTTAGCTCTTACATGCTCACCCAAAGGAGACTTTGTAACTGAAAAGTTACCTATTATTTTGTATACTTACTAGGTACCGGACACTTGCTTAGATTACAATTACCCTCACAAAAACCCTTTAAGGTAGGGGTCTACTGTACCCCCTTTACATATAAAGGAAAGGGTAACTCAGACAGGTTCAATAACTTGCCTAAGGTCACAAAGCTAGGAGCAGCAGACCCAAAAAATGAGCCTTGGTCAGCCTGGTTCTGGAGCCTATGTTCTTAACTTCCTTTGCCCCTCAAAAGGTGCAAAACAAACAACAGAAAGTAAGAACAGGAGGAATGTAACAGAACGCAAAAAGAAATTTCCACCACAGCATACACACGTTTTAGCAAACCAAAAATTCTTAACCCTTTCATATCCATACCCTTTTCTGAGACCTCTGCCCAGACTTCAGAAATGAAATTGAATTTTCCACTGGTGATCTGATCCTTCAAAGACACTTGAGTCTTATGCTCAGAGAAAGGTGGATACCCACTAAGGCTTAATGTTGGTAGAGAGAGAAAGGAAAAGAAATCAAATTATATTCTCAGTGGCATTCAGACATAACAGATTATTCTTTAAATCAATGATCAAAAAAAGTCACCCAATGTAAACACAAGCTCTCTACCTGGACACATTTCTGACTTCACCTAATTATCTCCAACCAGACTCTGAAGCAATGAAACTTTTCTTACCAGATAAAAAGAATCACTCCTAAACTCCAGCAATCCACAGCTCGGTTATATCCAGCAGTCCCAAAGGAATTAAGAACCTCAGGAGCCAGGTAGGTGGGAGTCCCACATAAGGTTCTCATTAGAGAGGTCTCCCCCAAAATCTTAGACTGCCCAAAATCAGTAATCTAAAATTAAGGACAAAAGGGAATCATTTTTAATGGTATCATAAAATAAAAAGATTAACATAATCGGGGCGCCTGGGTGGCTCAGTCATTAAGCGTCTGCCTTCAGCTCAGGTCATGATCCCAACCAGGGTCCTGGGATCGAGCCCCACATCAGGCTCCCTGCTCCGCCAGAAGCCTGCTTCTCCCTCTGCCACTCCCCTGCTTGTGTTCCCTCTCTTGCTGTGTCTCTCTCTGTCAAATAAATAAATAAAATCTTAAAAAAGAAAAAAAAAGATTAACATAGTCTTGCGAGTCCTAAAAGGCATGCAGGCTAGATCAGTTCCTATCCTAGATGGTTCATGCCTGCTGTTAATCTGGAATCTATAACTTTAACACTGCAAGTTAAATTTCATTTTGCTTTAATTAAAATTTCCAGGCCAAGGAAGCTCAAGGTTTCCTCTCCAACTTATCTGTGGTTCTCCTTAACCTTACAAAAGGTTTATAACCCTTATCTAACCCAGACTCTATGGTCCTAATTAGTTATCCAGAGTTTTTCTTAGACCCTAGTTTCTCAACCAATCTCAACACTGGAATATTTGAGGAGCTTGGAAAAAATACTCATACCTGAGTGCCACCTTCAGCAAATTCTGAGATGCAGTCTGGGTGTCATGATTTTTTTTTTTTTTTAAATCAATAGATTCTACAGTGAAGCCAGGCTTGGGAAGCACATTGCCTTAGAAAGCAGGGGAAGAAAGGGGATGGGATTCTCTCATCCATCCAGACCCCTCCTTCCTCTCTGAACAAAAGTGGCTTGTATACAATGAAGCTCAATAAATGCTCATTAGAATCTGGATCAGAGCAATACTGCCTGATCACTAAAATAACTGCTAATAGCAGAAAGGTCAAATTCTCTACCTTTTTATGCTCCCACTTTTTACTTGATGAATTTTATAAGTTTATGAACAGAAATCTACTGGAGTGGCCACATACAGAACATAAATTTCTTACCTTTATAAGACAGTCCTCTTTTTGAGATGAGAGTAGAACATTCTCTGGCTTTAAGTCCCGATGTATAATACCATTTTCGTGAAGGTACTACACAGAAAGGGAGGCACGACCCTTGGATTTATGCAGTAGGTGAGTAAAGACAGACAGACAGACACACACACACACACACACACACCTTATACCTGGGTGAAACCGTAAGCCAGGTTACTCACAACCACATTCCCCCAAATCATAGAAAACTACTGGGTAAAGGGCTTAACGTTTACAAATTTTTCTTTCTTTTTTTTTTTTAAGATTTTATTTATTCATTTGAGAGAGTGAGCAAGTGAGAGAGAGCACAAGCAGGGGGCGGGGAGGAGGGAGAAGGAGCAGAGTCCCTGCTCCCACGCAGACTCCCACGCAGGGCTCAATCCCAGAACCCTGGGACTGTGACCTGAGCTGAAGGCAGGCGCTTAACCAACTGAGCTACCCAGGTGCCCCACAAATTTGTTTTCAGGAAAATCCTTAGGGGCGCCTGGCTGGCTCAGTCAGTAAAGCATTCGACTCTTGATCTCAGGGTTGTGAGTTCGAGCCCCACGTTGGTGTGATTACTTAAATCTTGAAAGAAAAAGATTAAAATGCCACTTATGACAATAGACCATTTATTTCACTCTTCAAAATAATAAACACCCCTTCACATTGCCAAAAATATAAGATGTCAATTTCAATAGTAAATATGTAAATGGGTGAGCACCTGGGTGGCTCAGTCAGTTAAGTGTCTGTCTTCTGCTCGGGTCATGATCCCAGGGTCCTGGGATTGAGTCCTGCATCAGGTTCCTTGCTCAGAGGGGGTCTGCTTCTCCCTCTGACCGCCCCCCCTCCACTCATGCTCATGCTCTCTCTCTCCCTCTTTCTCTCTCTCTCTCACAAAATTAAAAAAAAAAAGAAAATGTAAATGGGTGATATAAGTATTCTGAGACCTTATTAAAGTAAACCATAAAAGTTCCATCAAAATAATGTATTTGGTTATTCTTTTCCTGAGAATATTTTTTAAAGGCCTCTGTAAAGTACCTAATTGTAAATTATGTTTAAATACCCAGAGTTCACGTATTCCTCAACACAGAAACTGAGTTCATCTTCACAATCTCTATGTCTGAAATGCAATGTTGATGTTTGTCTGTGTGTTCACCATTTTTTTATTTTTTAATTTTTTAATTGTTATGTTAATCACCATATATTACATCATTAGTTTTTGGTGCAGTGTTCCATGATTCATTGTTTGTTCATAACACCCAGTGCTCCATGCAGAACGTGCCCTCCTCAATACCCATCACCAGGATAACCCATCCCCCTCCCCCCCTCCCCCCCTCCCCTCTAGAACCCTCAGTTTGTTTTTCAGAGTCCATCATCTCTCATGGTTCGTCTCCCCCTCTGACATACTCCCCTTTTCTTCCTCTCCTGTTATCTTCTTCTTTTTCTTTTTTCTTAAAATATGTTGCGTTATTTGTTTCAGAAGTACAGATCTGTGATTCAACAGTCTTGCACAATTCACAGCGCTCACCGTAGCACATACCCTCCCCAGTGTCTATCACCCAGCCACCCCATCCCTCCCACCCCCAACCACTCCAGTAACACTCAGTTTGTTTCCTGAGATTAAGAATTCCTCATATCTGTGTGTTCACCATTTTTATACACCAAGTCATTTCTTTGGGAAAAAAATTCCCACATCCACTGATCTGCACTCAACTCATCAAGAGAGAATAAATCATTAAGAGGGTAAAGCACTGGTTAGGGGCTAATGGACTTCAATTCATCTGGATGCCCCTCTGGGCTGGGAGCAGAAAATTCCTCCAAAACACTGTCAACAGGAGAAAGACCTGTCAAAGCCCCCAGGGAGGGCAAACCCAGGTGAACCAGCCCCAGGAAAATCTCCCTCAACCCCCACTCAACAGGGGAGCTGCTTCCAAATCACTCAGTTTCCTGCATGGAGTAGGTCTTCAAGGGAAGAAATCTTGGCGGGGATTCGCCACAGCTAAATTTGGTTTGAAAAGGTGATGTTTGGAAGCAGGCAGTGTGCGACCCAACCAGATGCTCCTCGGAAGAGAGAAGGCGGCGCCCACCTGCCGCCGCAGTTCAGAGGATGCTGCACCTAAGGGGCCACCTGTCACTGTGCGGCAGGGGGAGCGATCCGTCTGTCACAACCACCCCGCCTTGCCAGCCTTCCTCTCCCACCTGCCGCAACCCCCAGCCAGCAAGGGGGGGGCTTTCTACAAGGTTCAAGCCCAAGTAGAGATCAGTACGCCTCCAGATAGACCTCCAAGTTAAAGAGAAGACAAGTGGGGCCCTGTTTATTTCTGTAACTCCCCCTCTTACTGTCCCTTAAGCTTCCCGGCAAGAGCTTTCCTGGCTGAGTCAAAGGCAGGAGAGGGGTGTTTTTGCCAAGAACAGAACATCACAAGCACAGACAGACTCTGTGCCCTCCGGGTTTTATGCACCATCCCTCACTTTCTGCCTCACTTCGGGAGTAATTCACCCACAAGCAGGGCGTCAAAGGAACCGAGGGAACCCTTACCTGTACAGCCAGGAGCATCTGGTAAAAATAGAGTTTGCATGTAGCTTCTTTCAGGCGCTTATTCCCCACCACCCTGTCAAAGAGCTCTCCTCCTTCCATCCTGAAAGACACAGGCAAAGCAGGGGGCTTGGACGGAAGACAATAACACCAACAAGACACACTGTTTCAGACAAGCAAAGAGTGGCCTTTTTTATTCACTCTTGAGGACTCCCGTTTCTAAGGGCAGTGAGGTAGAAAGTCTCCTCTTCACAGTTAAGAGGTCCTCACTGGAAACGAAGGAACAGGGAAAAGACGGAAGGAGTGGGCAGTGGGCACCGGACACACTTGGGAGCTTTTACGAATCTGACTCAGTGGACCGGAGGGGTGCCCACAGGGTTACATTTTTATCACACACCCCAGGAGATCCTGTGGCTGGGCAAGAGCAGCAAGCAGAAACCCGCAACCACGCAAGTGGGGTCTGAACCCCAGTTCCCTCACATCCCAGCTGTGGGACTTTGGGCAAGTTATGTCACCTCTCTGAGCTTGTTTCTGCCTCTTAAAAAATTGGGATAACCCCCCCCTCACCTTGATGGCTGTTGTAAAAATTAAGAGATAATTAATGTAGGTAAGGCAGTTGGCACAATGTGGTTGCTTGGCAGGGTTATTCAATCCCTCTGAACTTCAGTTTCCTTTTCTGTAAAGTGGGGCTAAACACAGTAACCCATCAGTAACTTGTAAGTCACCTGGATGACTGTCATGAAGGGTGAAGGAGTCAATCCATGTGAAGCGCTGAGCAGGAATTGGCCCATAGTGAGTACTTCATTAGTCTCAGTGACTGTTATTGTATTATTATTGAACTGTTTTAAGTAGCTCCAAACAGCAACAGATAAACCCTTAAGCATCCCAAGGGTCATCCAATCTTTCCTAGTACTATGATTGAGGCTGTTTACTATAAAATCTTAGTGGCCGACCTGCTTAGGCACTGTGTGCCACTCAGGAGCAAAGCCCCGCCTGACAACAGCCGCTCCCAGAAACACTACATATATGTAGGAATGAGCCTCAAGACAGGCCTCTGCCAGGGATGAGGCAGGAAATTGTTTGGGCCACACCACAGAAGACAGGACTTTGTGGTTACTGAAATAGACCAGCAAGTAAACCAGCAACAAAAAGATAATCAGGCGCCACCCAGGACTGCGATCCAGAGCAGAGAGATCCACCCAGGCACGTTTCAGAATAATTAATATCCACCTGAGTTTGAGCAACACAGTTGCTCAAGCAACAGTTTTTGTTTTTGTTTGTTTTTTTTTTCCCCACAACGGAGGTGCGGAAGTACACGACTTTAATAACTGACAGATATAATACAGTAAAACAGGGTAAGGTGGGGATGGAAGGGACAGAGGGGCACAGAGTGTGCCGGGGGCTCTACGGGGCACTCTCCATCCCTCACGGTATTTAATCTTTATGACTCTGCGCATGGGGGTATCATTATTACCACCCCCACAACACAAGGAAAATAAGACTCGGAGACACGAAGTCAACTAACTCACAGGGAGTTACCTGCAGAGCGGGATTCAAACTCAGGCCTCAGACCCAGGGTCTGGAACCTCTAAGCCACGTGCCTTTGGAAACACTCGAGGAATTTTAGGATCAACACTAACCCCACATGCACACTTTGCAAGCCCCACCACCACATACATATGATGAGGGTCCCCAGGATGAGAAAAATGCACGCCAGTCTTAGATTCTTTGGTGGTTTATAAGCAATTAAATAGAGACAAATAGAAAAGTTTACTACTTACAATTCCAAAACAATATAATAATCTTCAGCATCAAAAAAGTCTTTAATCTTGATGATACAAGGCTAAGAGGGAAAAGAAGAAAAGTAGTGAGAGGCTCCCAAGAGGAAAATCAGGAGAACTCGGGCATTTGGTCCCCTGCCTCAAGACACTTTGAAGTTCATATTGCAGAAAAGGCAGAACAGCACTGAGCTGGCTCCTTAGTAAGAACATGCAAGAAACCCTCCATCCCACCAAGTTGGTGAGGGAGGGTTCATGATTCACACACCAAGGATGGCATCATGGAAGGAAGGCCAGTCTCTTCCCAGCATTCCTCCTTACTGTCCCAGAACACAGGTACTGAAGGACACCTAAGGAACCTGAAGAGTCTTAACACTTGTGTGCATCCTCCTCTCTAGACCACAAAACACCCTGCCTGCCCTAGATTCCCTGTGTTCTTTACCAATGTCACACTTGGCTCGCCACCCTCCTGCCTGGTGATCCAGCCTCTGGGCACACCTGGCCTCTAGCATCAGGCCCCCAGTTCAAAACGTCACACTCGGAATGCACCCACAGTCCCCTGCATTGGTTCTCATCTGTGCTGCCTCACGCTACATCTTCAATGCCTGTCTCCCCACAGACTATGAGCTCCAGGAGGGCAAAAAAAGGAAACTAACACCCACCATGGGTCTCCCTCTATCAGGCACTTCATGGGTCAAGTCTTAGTTATCTTTCTAGACCCAACACTCAGCAGAGAAGCCAGCAAACAGGAGACGTTCATATGCTGCCCAGATTAATACAAACAACAGCAGTAATAGAAACACCACCCACTGAGGGTAGACTCTGCCAGCCCCACTTTGTTTTGCTTTTAAAGATTTTATTTATTTATTTGACAGAGAGAGAGAGCATGAGCAAGGGGAGTGGCAGGCAGAGGGAAAGGGAGAGCAGTCTCCTCGCTGAGCAGGGAGCCCGATGTAGGGCTCAATCCCAGAACCTTGGGATCATGACCTGAGCCGAAGGCAGATGCTTAACCGACTGAGCCACCCAGGCACCCCTGCCAGCCCCATTTTGGTCATGGCATACATAATCATGGGAGTAAGGCTGAGAGCAAACCAGCTCCACCACTCCTTACCTATGATCATAGTATGTACTTGCTCTGCGTGACCATTTGTTATTGTCACAATAATGAAGACACTGGATATGTATAGTAGTGTTATATTAAGAGGAAAAGAGAACTAAAATCCTCATACACTGTAACAGGAGGGCAACAGCTATCTAAAAGTGATAAACCAGGAGACAGCAGTTTATGCATATTATATAGAAATACGGAGATACATTGGTTTAAAAAAAAAAACAGATGAAAGAGTTCTAAAATGTTTGTGGGGGAGGATTAGGGGGCTGCAGAGTTACAGTCCGTGTATAAACCTTTGAGCAAGATTTGACTCTCTAGATTCTACACGTGATTAAAGGAGAAGCAGAAGAAAAGACACACACAGAAAAGGAACAGGAGATCAGAGGAACAAATGAGAGCCACTTGGTTCTGCCTGGCTTCATTCGGCAGGGCTGGGCCCACCTGGAAACAGAAGGGTCTAGGAGCTGGTGCAGCACGAGGAGGTGCCCAGCAGTCAAAAGCCTGTAGGCGCCGCTTCCTCTAGGCACCACCACCTCTAGGGTCATTCATTGGCTGCAGCATCGTAGCTGAAGGTGTCTCTCGTGAACCAGAAGCTACTATCCTACACTCTCCACTTAGACCATACAGGGAATAGTTTAGGGAATGACAGATGACTGTCATTTCCCAAGCATGTTCTCCACACAGAGAGCTTGGTGAGCACATCTCATCGAATTCCTATACTGACCTTTAAGGTAGGTATCCTTATTGTTTCCACTGCACAGATGAGCAAACAAAGGCTCCGAAAAGTAAAATGACCTTCTCAGAGCCAGGAGGTAAGAGAGATGGGACTGGGAACCCAGGTCTGTCTCCCCACTAGGCTGAAACCATAGGAGGGGAGGGACAGCCAAATCCATCTGTGCTCACCACCGCCTGGGCCTTAGAAGACAGGCTGGCACAGTAAGTGTCTGACGACTGACTGGATCAATGCCTGGCTCCAAGCACCAGGCTCTGCTGGGCTATCAGGCTCTACTCATTATCCCCCAAACGCACTCATGAGCCCATATTTAATTTCCAAGAGCTTTCCACATGCCCTTGTAAACTGCCAAGAAATCTTGCAATTTCTTTCTAAATTGCCGGAGATCTTTTTTGAGGGTTCTAAATTCCTCTCGACTGCAGTGGACATTGGATTTGTGTAAATGTTATGTTTGGGGATCCTCTGACATCAGGAAAAATTCCCTGAGGATCTGAAGTGTTTATCTTACAAGTACGTTTGAAGCAACCCCACCCCAGAAAATTAGAGGGCTCCTCTCTTTAACAAGAGATTCCAGATCCCTTGGGGGAAAAAAAGGCTAATTCAGGGAAGAAGAGGAAGTTGCAAGGGAATTAGAAGAACACCAAGCCAGGATGCTGGTTACTCAGATTGTCCTGGGTTCAAGACTCAACCACTGGGTTCTAACTATTGTGTTGATGGCAGTGATCCTGCTCTTAATTTCTATTAGTTGTTTGGAGAATTTGAGGAGGTGAGAGAAGGCAGAAGAAAATCTTTTCATTGCTTGGAGGTTAAGAACCAGAATAAGATCCAGGCGCCTGGGTGGCTCAGCTGGTTAAGCATCCTACTCTTGATTTTGGCCCAGGTCATGATCTCAGGGATGTGGATCAAATGCCAGCAACAGGCTCCTCAATGGGCATGGAGCCTGCCTAAGATTCTCTCTTACCCTCCCCCTTTGCCCCTACCCACTCTCAAAAAAAAAAAAAAGAACCAGAATAAGTTCGTCCTTAGCTGGAGAGACTGGAAGTCTAACTGCAAGTTTCAATTCCAGTGCCAACCTAGCTCATGACTTCAAGGGGGTTCATGAATTAATGAAGAAACAGAAAAAACAATAAAAAGGAAGATGGGATCAGTCCACAACTCTAACTTCTCTTCTCACTTCTTAAAAGACAGACTCGGGGAGCCTGGGTGGCTCAGTCGTTAAGCGTCTGCCTTCGGCTCAGGTCATGATCCCAGGGTCCTGGGATCGAGCCTCGCATCGGGCTCCCTGCTCCTCGGGAAGTCTGCTTCTCCCTCTCCCACTCCCCCTGCTTGTGTTCCCTCTCTCGCTGTGTCTCTCTCTCTGTGTCAAATAAATAAATAAATAATCTTAAAAAAAAAAAAAAAGACAGACTCACTTTCCAGTGAGAAAAAGTCATCATTGGACAAAAGACAGGAACTATTTATACCCACTGAGATAAATCGAAATCAGCACCATCAAAAGGTATTGAGGTACTGAAACTTCAGGTATAACTAAACCAAATTAGCACTGTCTTCCCAAACATAACCAGTTGATCAAATCCCTATAAGATAAAATAGTTAGGAAATTTACGTGTTTTGGTCAAAAACTCACTCAGTGGAAATATCACAGTTATTTAAACATGAAATCTTTATGCAGTACTGTCCTCTCAAAATTTCACAGTAAAGCTCTTTCCAGCTAAATACATACACCCACGCATGTGTACCCACACATAAACACACACAATACACACACACACAATTAAGGAACCCAAGTTAATACTAGCTTTATTAAACTGAAATACTTTGTACTCCCCCCATATTTTGAGAGAAATGGATTTAAGTACGGTCATATTTTATAGCAATACTTACATGATTTAGTTTTTTCAAAATATGTATTTCTGTTTTAACATCAGGAACTGGATCCTTTGATAAATAAAAAAAAACATTAAAGTCTGTTAATAACAGTCAATATTTAAAAAATGTTTACTTACAACTTAGTTGAGTAAAAGCTGCATGAGTTCCACACACCCAGCCCAGCCCTACCCATACAGATAATTCAAGGCTTAGAGGTCAAAGAACTAAATCAGTTACCTAAAAATCACCCTGCGAAGTGCTTGGCAAATAGTAAGCATTCAGTAAACGACCAGGCCCTATGCCAACCTCTTTATGTAAAAGAGTCATCTTACAGAAGTCTCATAATCCTGAAGTGAACTGGGTTCTATAATTATCCCCATTTCACAAATGGAGTAACTGAGGCACAGAGAAAGGAAGCCACTTGTTCCAGTTCTCACAGCCAGAAACAAGTGTGCTTCCACCATTCTCACACTTACCTGGTAAGCTCTGTCTCTCTTTTTTTTTTTTTAAGTTTTTATTGGAATTCCAGTTAGTTAACATACAATGTAATATCGGTTGTAAGCTCTGTCTGTCTGGCTGTGGAACTGTTTATACTCATAAAAATGATACAATAAACAAACCACAGACAAGAGGTATTCAATTAAATTGTAAAAGGAAAATGTCAAGCCAAATTTCTAATAATGAAGCAGACACAGGTTCCAATTTGCTGCAGGCTGACATATTTACTGAGACACCAAAGAGAGGAAGCATCAGGGGACTGGAACTGCTCTCCGTTGCAATTCCAAAAGGATGAAATCGACTTACTCAGCCTCATGGGCTACACCCTCCAAAGCGAAGAGGATATAGAATTACATATTTATGTAAAATGGACTTCAGCTAAGAAACCCAGATGTTTAATTTTAAAAGCCTGCCTCTTCCTGTAAGCTGTTAAACTCATTACCAAGAAAGGCCGTACTCTGCTGATAGAGAGGTCTTAAAGAGTCCAATCTGATTTGAAAGATGAAATTAAGAAGTACAATTTTGCTCCAAGTCATTAAGAATCTGGTAGGTATTTTCTTCCCCCTCAAAACGGGAAACAAATCCAGAATCACAGGGGAAAAGGATCCACCACAAAGTGAACACAGAAAGGAAACTGCTCTTGCCATGTGAGAATGGCATTGTCCTTGGGGCCCGGGTGGGGGATGGGGAATAGATCTTTAAAGAACGTTAAAGTATAATGGCCAGAAACAGCTGGCCACAAAGGAAAAGGTGATCAGAGACCTCACTTTACATTACTTTGTAGGGTCCTGTGTTGGAAGACCAATACATTTCACCAATGCAGTAAATGTGTATTAGAGAAAATGTGATATAATGAATAGCTACTATACAGAGACTATTAAATAATTAAGATTTTTAAAAATCTATAGATGCTAAGATATTCACTGTTTCATTATCGGGAAGGGCAAAGAACTAGAAATTATTCCAAATGATCAAAGAGAGGAATGGGTGAATAAATATAAAGTCTTTTTCATGAAAAAGAGGCTCGATCATCACAAAACATCTATTAGGGGAAAGTTTATGCATTAATGCGTATGGGGAAAAGCAGAATACAAAATTGTATATACAATATGATTTCAACCAACTAAAAATGCAAATCTGTATGAACAAGGACCACAAGGAAAAAGAAAACTAGAAACAGCTGTGGAGTTACAGTGGTGGGGATATGGCTGGGTTTTTTTCCCCCCAATTCCCTTTCACATACTGTAAAAACTAGTAACGACTTGGGGAGGCGAGGAGAAAACACTTCCTGCTAGGTGTATTATTACGTTGGAACCAAGCTACTGATAAGTACATTCTAGGTTAGTTGAATATACTCAAAAAACAGGGGGGTGGGGGTGGCACAGAGGGAGAGAGAGACTCTTAAGCAGGTCCATGACCAGTGCAGACCCAACAAACACAGGGCTTGATCTCATGACCTGAGCCGAAATCAAGAGTCAGATGCTTAACTGACTGAGCCACCCAGGAGCCCCAATACTCAAAATTTTTCAATGTTGTTTAATACAAATTCACATATGTGAACAGTGAATTCTCCCTGACACTGAAAATCACCACTCAAATTATCTGGGGACATTAGGAAGTGTTAAAAATAGCTGAGCATCCACAAACAGGTACTTACTGCATCTCTCTCAGAGCCAATAGCAAACTTCCTTTTGCTGATGATTTTTATGGCTACTTTCTTACATGTTTTCCTCTCAAAAGCTAGCTTCACCTCACCACAGGCACCACTGCAGAGAGAAATATAAAATGATCGATTATCAGAATGATTTTAATCATGAGACCCATCACTTCTGAGCTGGCCTCAACTATTACATATTAAACACGATCCACACACTTCTTCCATTGTCCCTGTTTTCAGACAACACAGTGAAACCTCACCAAAGTTAAAATGTCAAGGGCATAAGTGAATGTGGACCACCCAACAGCACTGAGTCAGCTCCAAATTCCACTTTTTGAGCTGGGAGATACAGACTTGTCTTACTGGCACCCCAGAGTGTGAAATTCTCAGAAAGACACTAAGAACAAATAGAGAAATTATTTATCCTAGAGTCAGGGAAACATCAAGTAGAACAAAGCCCTAGACAAAAATGAGTGACTAACACAAGTTATAGTAAATAGCATCTGCAAATGAATTACTTTCATTGATACGGTCTTTCTTATTCAAAAGAACTACAGAAGCAGTTGATGCCATGAATTTCACCCTAAATAAAATCGCAATACCTAAAAAAAAAAAAGTATTACGCAACTAACCTGCTTGCAGCAAAACTCTTGAAGATTTGCAGTTAATTGGGACACTCTAAGGAGGAGTAATAATACCCAGTATACCACACAAAATACAGATAACCTGATGGGCTCTGTTCTCCAAAGCTTGGGTCAACTGAAGGTAAAGGCTACTCAAGTATCAATCACTCATTACATGCCCGAAGTAGACTGTTAACTATTGTGACTTTGGAATGGGATGATGGATTTGTCAAGACATTTTTTTTAATTGCATAATGTGTATCTACATAACAAAATTTACCATTGTAATCATTTTAAAATGTACAATTCAGTGGCATTAAGTACATCCTCAATGTCTGGACCCATCACCCCTGTCTAGTTGCAGAATTTTTTCATCAGCCCAAATGGAAACCCCATCCCCATTCTATGCTGCAACCAGCCACTGGCAACCACTCATCCACTTTGTCTCAATGGATTTGCCTATTCTGAATATCTCTTATCAGTGAAATCACACAACATGTGGCCCTTTGTGTCTGGCTTCTTTCACTTAGCATGTTCTCAAGGTTCAGCCATGCTGTAGCATGGATCAGTATTTCATTCTTTTTTATAGCTAAGTAACATTCCATTGTGGGACACCTGGATGGCTCAGTTGGTTAAGTGTCTGCCTTGGGCTAAGTTCATGATCCCAGGGTCCTAGGATTGAGTCCCACATTGGGCTCCTTACAGAGTGGGGAGTCTGCTTCTCCCTCTGCCTGCTGCTTCCCCCTGCTTGTACTCTCTGACAAATAAAATCTTTTTTTTTTTTAAGATTTTTATTTATTTATTTAACAGAGATAGAGAGCACAAGTAGGCAGAGCGGCAGACAGAGGGAGAGGGAGAAGCAGGCTCTCCACCGCGCAGGGAGCCCGATGTGGGGCTCGATCCCAGAACCCTGGGATCATGACCCGAGCCAAAGGCAGCCACATAACCGACTGCGCCACCCAGGCGCCCCGACAAATAAAATCTTTAGAAAAATAAAAATATAAGTAATATCCCATTATACAGATATATCTGTTTATCTATTTACTTGTTGATGGAAATTTGGGTTGTTTCCACCTTCTGGTTATTATGAATAGAGCTGAAATGAACATTCATGCATAAGTTTTTATTTGAACACCTGTTTTCAACTTGGGGGGGTTATATACCTACAAGAGGAAATTGCTGGGTCATATGATAATTCTATGCTTAACTTTTTGATAAACCAATCAACTATTTCCCATAGTGGCTACACCATTTTACATTCATTCCCATCAGTAGTACATAGAGTTTCCAATTTCTCTGCATCCTCACGAACACTTGTTACTTTCTATTTCTTTATTATGGCCACCCTAGTGGCTGCAAAGTAGTATCTCATTGTGGTTTTCATTTGCACTTCCCTAATGACTAATGATGCTGAGCATCTTCTCATGCGGTTGTTGGTCATTTGTATATCTTCTTTCAAGAAGTCTATTTAAATCCTTTGCCCGGGGCGCCTGGGTGGCTCAGATGGTTAAGGGTCTGCCTACAGCTCAGGTCATGATCCCAGGGTCCTGGGATCGGAGCCCTGCATCGGGCTCTCTGCTCAGCAGGGAATCTGCTTCTCCCCCTCTCTCTGCTTCTCCCCCTGCTAATGCTCTCTCTCTCTCTGTGTCTCGAATGAATAAAAAAATAATAAATAAATAAATCCTTCGCCCATTTGTAAATTGGATAGTTTTTCCTTTTGTTGTTCTTTACTCTGAATACTAGATCCTTATCAGATATACTATTTGCAAGTATTTTCTCTCTGTGAGTTGTGTTTCACTCCCTTGATAGTATCTAAATGCACTAAAGTTTTTAAATTTGATGAAGTCTAATTAATCCATTTTTTTCCCTTTTGTTGCTTGTACTTCTGGTACCATATTTAAGAAACCAGTGCCAAATACAAGGTCATGAAGAGTTATCCCTGTTTCCTTCTTACAGTTTAATAGCTTTGTCTGTTACAATTAGTTTTTTCCCTTTTTTTTTTAAGATTTTATTTATTTATTTGAGAGCGTGAGAGAGAAAGTACAAGACGGGGAAGGGCCCGAGGGAAAAGCAGACTGCCTGATCAGCAGGGAGTCTGATGGTAGGGCTCCGTCCTGAGACTCTGGGACTCCGGGATCATGACCTGAGCCAAAGGCAGACGCTTAACCGACTGAACCACCCAGGAGCCCCTAGTTTTTTCCTTTTAATTTTTGTATATAGTGTGAGATAACAGTCCATATAACTATTATTTTTTTTAAATCTGCTCAAAACACTTTCCAGTTCCCCTTCTGATAAAGTCACCTTTTGCCTGAGAAATCTTCCCTGAGTCGATGTAGCTCTAGTGGAATATCTATAATAGTACCATGGGGTGGACATGTAACTAAAATTGAGCCAGTCAAGGTTCTCCCTGGAATCAAATGCTGATTCTGGGAGAGAAACAGTTCTACCTGTGGTGGTTTCTAGAAGGAAGAAGATATGAGTGTAGGGCTCCTGGAAGCCATCTTTCCTGCCACACAGAGAAAGCAAATCTATAGGCAACCAATAGTAGCTGAATCAATAGATGGAGTCAGAGCCCTGGCAACACTGTAGGAGCCCTTAAATCCAGCCACAGGTAAAGCCACACAGATAATCAGAACTCAAAGAGTGAAATAAAGCCCTAAAGGCCACCTGGTCCAGTCATACCTGAAATCATCTGTGCCCGTTAAAAGAGTCAGTAAGTTTCTTTTCTTTTCTGACTCATGTGAGTTAAGATTCTGTCACCTGCTAAAAGTTACAGGATTTTCCCTTAGAAAAAATAAGAGTCCTATATATTTCTTAAGGGTGGGCACAAATTTGGCTATAAATTTCCAAGCACCAATGCAAATACGAAAACATAGTGAGTTACTGAATTTAACATCCATAAACTAAAATATTTTCCATAGATGGTCATAAAGAGTACATTGTGTTTGATTCTATGTGGCAGGAATATAGGCGATTATTTCCTTTTATTAATTTCTACTTTCGTGTTTCCAAAAATGTTAAAGGCCTCTGGGGTGGGAGAGGGGTGGGAGATTGAAGAACATGATGCAATGTGGTAAAGGTGTCCCTAAGGAAATGGTTCTCAGGGCGCCTGGCTGGCTCAGTTGGGAGGGCATGTGACTCTTGATCTTGGGGTCATGAGTTCAAGCCCCATATCGGGTATACAGATTACTTAAATAAATAAAACGTAAAAACCTAAGGAAGTGGTTCTCAAAGTAGGATTAAGCAACCCCTAAGGGACCTCAAGATGCTTGCAGGGTGTCCACAAAGCCTAAACTACTTGCAGAATAACACTAAGACATTATGTGCCTTTTTCATTCTCATTCTCTCATGAGCATACGGTTTTCCAGAGGCTTTATGGCATGTGATATAACAGACCGAACAAAGAAGCAAATATCAGGATCTAGCCATTTTCTAGTAAAGGAGATATCAAAGACTTTTAAAATGTGAAACAATGCCTCTCTTCTCATTAATCTTTATTTAAATAATTATTTTGTTGGGCGCCTAAGTGTCTCAGTTGGTTAAGCAACTGCCTTCGGCTCAGGTCATGATCCCAGGGTCCTGGGATTGGGCCCCACATCCAGCTTCCTGCTCAGTGGGGAGCCTACTTCTCCCTCTTCTGCTCCCCCTGCTTGTGCACGCTATCAAATAAATAAATAAAATCTTTAAAAAAATTATTTTGCGGGGCACCTGGGTGGCTCAGTCGTTAAGCGTCTGCCTTCGGCCCAGGTCATGATCCCAGGGTCCTGGGATCAAGCCCCACATCAGGCTCCCTGCTCCTCGGGAAGCCTGCTTCTCCCTCGCCCACTCCCCCTGCTTGTGTGCCCTCTCTCGCTATGTCTCTGTCAAATGAATAAATAAAATCTTTAAAAAAAATTATTTTGCACTCAAAACATTATTTATCTTTTTTTTTTAAGATTTTTTTTATTTGAGAGAGAGCGAGGGAGAGAATGAGCAGGAAGGGCAGAGGGAGAGAACCCCAAGCAGACTCCCGCTGAGTGGGGAGTCCAATGGGGGTGGGGTGGGGGGGACTCAATCCCACAACCCTGAGATCATGACCTGGGCCGAAATCAAGAGTTGGACACTTTAACCAACTGAGCCACCCAGATGCCCCAGAAACATTATTTATTTTAACATAAGTGAGTTTTTCAATGCATTAACAAATATTATTGTCTGCATTTGAATTTCTAATACAGTTAATATCAATAGATTTAAGCCATGTGAACAAAAGCTCTTTGGCATCCTCAGTAATTTTTAAGAGTATAAGGGCTCCTGGAATACCCGGGTGGCTCAGTTAAGTGTCTGACTTCAGCTCAGGTCATGATCTCCAGGTCCTAGATTGAGCCCTGCATGGGGCTCCCCACTCAGCAGGATGTCTGCTTCTCCCACTCCCTCTGCCCCTCCCCCTGCTCATGTTCTCTCTCTCTCTCTCAAATAAATAAGATCTTTTAAGGAAGGTTGTAAGGGGTCCTGAAACCAAACATCTTGAGAACTTTGCCCTGATTCAATGATCAGTTTCATTTCACTTCCCAAGATGTCACAAATTCTGAAGCGGGCATAAATGTAGTCAATGTTTCTTTTTTGGAAGGTAATAAAAATGTTCTAGGGGAACCTGAGTGGCTCAGTCGTTAAGCGTCTGCCTTAGGCTCAGGTGATGATCCCAGGAGAACCCCACATTAGGCTCCCTGCTCTGCGGGAAGCCTGCTTCTCCCTCTTCCCTTCCCCCTGCTTGTGTTCCCTCTCTCGCTGTGTCTCTGTCAAATAAATAAATAAATAAATAAGTTCTAGGGCGCCTGGGTGGCTCAGTTGGTTAAGCGACTGCCTTTGGCTCAGGTCATGTTCCTGGAGTCCCGCATCGGGCTCCCTGCTCAGCAGAGAGTTTGCTTCTCCCTCTGACCTTCTTCCCTCTCATGCTCTCTCTCTACCATTCTCTCTCTCTCTCTCAATAAATAAATAAAACTCTTTATAAAAAAAGTTCTAAAATTGGTTGTGGTAAAGGTTTCACAACTCTGTGAATATATTAAAAATCATTAAATTATACACTTCATATGGGTGAATTGTATGGTATGAGAACTTTTTTAAATTAATTTATCAAATAAATCAGTAACACACCTAACAAGTTCCCTACAAATAGGAAGTTAACGAATGTTATAAAACCAGGAACAAGAAACTAATCAATGACAAATGTTTAGGAAAAAATGAATGGCAATTTTCATAATAAAAAAAAATTTACCTTCCGAGAGTTTTTGACATGATGTATTGGTCTCTTAATTCCTTAGGATAAATTGACTGATCATCTACAGTCAGATCAAAAAATACAAAAACTAAAGGAAAAAGGGCAGAAATAAGTCTCATTAATTTATTCAATAAAGAGAAGATAAGTGGTCCTCAAGTTTAGTAAGCATATGTGATACAGACACTTAACACCTAACTCTAAAGGAATTATGTAGCCAGGCTAATAATAATTTCATAGTATTATGAAACTGTATTTCATTCATATATTATGAAGCCCATGGAAAATGATAGTCAGATCTCATTCTTTCATAAAAATACACAGCATCATCTTACTATAGTGCGGAAAATCCACACATACATGCTAGTCTTATTCCTTTGCCTCAGAATTATTTATCACTTGCAACTCATATAAAATACCCATGCAAGATTAGTCCTTGCCTGAGCAGGAAAAAAAAAAAAAACCTACGCAGATCAGCATATGCCCAGAACCAAACAGCAATTAGTATGAGCCTAGAAAAAAATGTTCTAGGCAAATAAACATCCCAATAAAATTAGACCACAGGTCATCATACTAAAAGATAAGTATTATCTTCTCTTTGCCATTTATATACCTCTACATGTCTGGCATTCTACAGTGCAAACCATCTTGAACCTACTTGGAAAGTTAAATAAATAGCATTTTCCCAAAAATCCCCTTATTTCTGAATTATTTGGGCTGTATCAAAAAAACAAAAAAAAATAACCCCACTCATTTAAAAATTTAACTATCCATGTAGGCCAAGGCTGCAATCAATTATCAAAATTTCAATTCCACAAAATGAATGGTATATTTGCAATTGCCTGTATCAACCTGAAAGAGTGAAATTTGTTGAGACCCTTCAGTTTCTCATATTTCAGGCAACAGGTTTCAACCTCCCTGGAGTAACCCAGAGTTCCAGTCTCTGGCACAAATCTGAGCCACCTGAGTGTGCTTCATTCCAGGCTGGTCCACATGAGACAGAAACCTGTGGAGTGAATGAAATCTGCCAGCAAATCAAGATAAAACTGTTTCTCTATGCTTGTAGATACTTATGAACCTAGATGTTCCAGTGGCATCTGAGTTATCTGGGAATTTGAGGGGCCCTGGAGAGCTATTTCTCACAGATGTCAAGGTCTACTTCAAAGGCTGCAAACTCAGTTGCCCACAGAAGCCAAGGTCACGTACACAGGGAAGGCTGGGTTGAATGTTAGACAACGTGGAGCAGTGAGGACTTAAATGGGCAAACATACCACACATCTTAAAAAAGGCAGGCTCTACCGAGCACTGGCAAATCCTCCACGTATGGGATTATAGGATTGGTGTGGCCAGACAGTCCACCCTTTCAAAACAATCTGGATTTTCATGTTAAAGTACAAACAGCAAATGCCTAATAAAATGCCAATAAACCAAATGCAATCTGCAGAGGGACAACCTGGCCTATTTCAATTCTGGCCACCTTTAGCCCATACAACACCTTGGTTCAGAGAAGAAAAGGTGCCCCTTGGATAGACCAACGAGCAAAAGGTGGCAAATGAGCTTGTCAAGTAAGACGGGCCAAATTTCAGCAACTGGCTGTCACCTCCACCAGGGGCTCTCAAACAGCAAAACCCTATGCAGCTGCCTTGACTATAATTATCAGACAGAAAACAAAATAGCAACAGGGAAAACTATCATAAAATGTGCTTTAGGATGCCTAGGACAGCCATCATTCCCAGATGCCAGTCTGAAGACTGACTGTATGAGAATCACCTAAGCAAGATTTTTTATATCCCTGGACTCCTAGACCGGGGGCTATGACACAGCACCTGGGGGCATCTGTATTTTTAAGTCGTTACACATGCATACATACATCCTTCCCATTCAAATCTCACATAGTTTTGTAAAGTTCTGTGGGTTTTTTTTTTTCTTTTCAATCAAAGAAACAAGAGTATTCCTCTTGTCCAAGGATTTAAAATCACTGTGAGATTACATTTAACTCTAGAGGTTGTCTTTATTCTTTCTGTGCTGAATGCCAATTGTTTGTTTTAGATGTGATTTTGGTAAAGTTTTAGGAGTGGCTGCTTATAAAATGTTGCCTGATGACAATAAACATCAACACTTTGAGGATAATCACGTGGTATTTAAGGTAGAAGCTTTTAAACTGAGATTCTGCCTGAAAAACCCTAAGGCCTGGCAGGTAAGCGAAGTCCAATTGATACTTGCAGCAATTAAGGAGTAGCAGGTATGAAAGGGAAGAAGGAGAAAGGAAAAGAGAAGAAGGAAGGAGGGAGGGAGAAGAATTCATGGCCTAAAACAACTCACTGACCCCGAAGATTGATGTGGTATAAACTGCATCAGTGAATGAAGAACCATCTTAAGCAATATCATTCCTTTGACAACAAACAGCCTTAAACAAAACTAATCCAACTAATCAAAGCTTGGAAAATCTACCTTGATAGAAATTGTTCATTCATTTAAAAATGCACCTAGGGCTGCATTGGATCCTGAATACTAACCTTCTTACTTTATTTATCCAAACCATACTCTGCCAAGGGCACAATGTCAATTTTCCCTTCATAGGAGAGGAAAAAAACGATCCAGTAACCAGAAGATAGTAATGTTACCTTTATTACTCCATACTGAAAGTGCAATTTCAGAATTGTTATTCAAAGGAAGGCGTCTTCCTTTCCCTACCAGCTCTCTATTTACAAAGGTTCCATTCCCACTGTGATCTTCTATGTATGCGATGTAAGAGTTTTTAGGACCCATTTCCTAAAATAGAGAACATTTTATTTCAAAGTTTTAACAGTGGGGAGTTACAGTGCTAAGATATCTCAGGGTGGTGACGACATTACCGGTTCTCCCAAATAAACAGATTATTTGTCACCTACTCTGAAAATCCGAAAGTGCTTCTTGCTATAAGTCCGGTATTTATCCGTTCTTTTCAGCAGTGGCTCATCAAAGCAGTATTCACAGCTTCGATCTCTCCCAAACCAGTAGTTGTCATTAACACACTCTGTAACACAAAAGTACACACCAGAGTGCTGTGGAATTTCATGCATCAAACATCTTTAAAAATTGCTTATAAAATCTAACTGCAGGAAAATAACCTAAGAAAGCAATCAAGCTTCAAGCTATCTTTATCAGAATTTTATAGGAGTAAAAACGAGGGAGGAGAAAAAAACAATTTTCCAACGAGTTTAGTAAATTGTGGTTTATACATAACTATGAAATAATAAAGTCATTAAAAGTTCTCAAGCAATTATTAATGATTTGAAAAAACAGTTATAATCTAATAACTTCCTATTACCCTCTTGAGGCTTCCCATCATACTTAGTACAAAATGTGCACTCTTTCCCATGGCAGGACAGATGCTCAGGATCTGGCCCCTGCTTCCCTCCCAGCATCACCTTGTACTGCTCCCCTTGATCACTCTACCCAGTCCCACTGGCACCTTCCACTGCCCCAAATATTCGGGTTCAACCCCCCTGGTGGCCTTTGCATTCTCTGTTCCCAGCAACTTGAACAGCCATCTTGCCTTTATGTCTGGATTTAAATTATCATCTTCCACTCAGCTTTCCGTATAAGCAGACTCGGTAATTACCTCATCACCCATTATCATAATGATATCCTGCTTTGTTGCCCACTAAGAATGGACCATAACTGGAAGTTATCTTTATTATTTACATATTGTCTCCCTGCACTCCCCTGTTACAACAAACTCCAGGAGGCCAGCCTTGGGTGTCCTGTGTTATATAGTTCCAGCACTGAGGACATGAATATAGTGGGCAAGTAGAATGTTGAGAGAAAGACAGAACAGGCAAAATATTACCAATTCATATGACAAAGTAGTAATTTCTGTAATATATCTTAAGTTACTACAAAATAAAAGACAAACAATCCAGTAAAAACTGGGTAAAGGATACGAAGAGACAATTTATAAGAGAAGTAAATACAAACAGCTCAAACATAAGAAAAAATGGACAAGGTAACTCAATACAAGAAATTTTAAAAACAAGAACCGCCTGGCTGGCTCAGTTGGCAGAGCATGCAACTCTTGATCTCGGAGTTGTGAGTTCAAGCCCCACGCTGGTTGTTGAGATTACCTAAAAATAAAATCTTTTAAAAAGTGAAATAAAAGAAATGCATAGCATGTATACATTAAAAAAAAAAAAAAGAAGAAGAAACTTTAAAAAACAGTAATACAGGGGCACCGGGGTGGCTCAGTTGGTTAAGCATCTGCCTTCGGCTCAGGTCATAATCCCAGGGTGCTGGAATTGAGCCCCATGTCGGGCTCCCTGCTCAGCGAGGGTCTGCTTTTCTCTCTCTCTCTGTTTGTGCACTCTCTCTCAAATAAATAAATAAAATCCTAAAAAAATAATAATAACATTAAGATTTCATGTTTCAACTATCAGATTAACCAAAATCAAAGAGGGGGTGCCTGGGTGGCACAGTCGGTTGGGCCTCCAACTCTTGGTTTCAGCTCAGGTCGTAGTCTTGGGGTTGTGAGATCAAGCCCCACATCAGGCTTCCGTGCTTAGCATGGAATCTGCTTCAGATTCTCTCTCCCTCTATCTCTGTCTCTCCTGCTCATGCTCTCTCTCTCTCTCTCTCAAATGGATAAATAAATCTTAAAAAAAAAAAATCAAAGAGTTACATATTGTAATACTGTGTTGGCATGAAGAAACTGTTACTCTTACTTGTACATTGCCAGTGAGAATGTAATTTATACACCAAATATAATTTGGAGTCTAGGGAAGATAATTTGGCAAGATGCATCAAAGTTACATTTGCAACCACTTCACCCTGATGAAGATGGCTATAATTTAAAAAAAAAAAAAAAAAAGAAAAGAATAAGTATTGGCAAGGATGCAAGGAAATCAGTACCCTCACACACTGCTGGTGGGAATGTAAAATGATACAGCTACCATGGAAGAGTTTGTCATTCCTCAAAAAGTTAAACATAAGGGCGCTTGGGTGGCTCAGGTCATGATCCCGGAGTCTCCAGATCGAGTCCTGTGCCGGGCTCCCCGCCCAGCGGGGGGGTCTGCTTCTCCCTCTGACCCCCTCCCTTCTCATGGCCCCTCTCTCTCTCTCTCTCAAATAAATAAAATCTTAAAAAAAAAAAAAGTTAAACACAGAACTGCCTTATGACTCAGCATTTCCAATCCTCACTAGATACTCAAAAGAACTGAAAACAGGTACCCTAAACAAAATCTTGTACGCAAGTGTTCATACCCGCACTATTCACAATAACCAAATGAAAGAAACAACCCAAATGTCTCTTGCTGGATGGATAAACAAATTGTGGCAGTTACATATAATGGAATATATAATGGATATAAGATCAAGAGTTGCATGCCCTACTGGCTGAACCAGCCAGGTGCCCCTATAATGGAATACTATTCAGCCAAAAAATAAATAAGTAAATGCTACAGCTCATACATACCACAATATGGAGAAACCTTGAAAACATTAGAAGAAACCAGATACAAAAAACCATAAATTATATTACATTTATATGAAATGTCCAGAACAGTTAAATCCATAGAAATGAAATACGGATTGCTGATTGCCAGGGGCAGGAGAGAAGAATGGGAAGTAAATGCTTAATGGGTAGAGGATTTTATTTTGGAGTAATGGAAATGTTTCAGAACTAGAAAAAGGTAGTGAAGCCACTGAACTGTTCACTTTCAAATAGTTAATTTTATGTTATGTGCATTTCACCTCATTTTTTTTAATTTTTTTTAAGATTTTATTTATTTGACAGAGAAAGTACAAGTAGGCAGAGAGGCAGGCGGAGGGAGAGGGAGAAGCAGGCTCTCCGCTGAGCAGGGAGCCCGACGCGGGGCTCAATCCCAGGACCCTGGGATCATGACCTGAGCCGAAGGCAGTCGCCTAAACGACTGAGCCACCCAGGCGCCCCTCACCTCAATTTTTAAAAAATTATATAGACACACATATTGGCCCAGAAATTCCACTTCTAGTAATTTATTCTATGGATAGAAACATATGTATTATGAAAGGACATAAGAACAAAGGTAAAAAGGTTATTTACTAGGGCGCCTGGGTGGCTCAGTTGGTTAAGCAACTGCCTTCGGCTCAGGTCATGATCCTGGAGTCCCGGGATCGAGTCCCGCATCGGGCTCCCTGCTCGGCGAGGGGCCTGCTTCTCCCTCTAACCCTCCCCGCTCTCATGTACTCTCTCTCTCTCTCTCTCATTCTCACTCTCTCAAAATAAATAAATAAATCTTTAAAAAAAAAAGGTTATTTACTATAGCATTATTCTTAGAGCAAAAACTAACAAACATCGTAAATGTCCATTAGTAAGGGGTTAATTCAAAAAAACCTTATATATCGGGGCGCCTGGATGGCTCAGCCGGTTAAGCGTCCAACTCTTGATTTTGGCTTAGGTCTTGGTCTCCAGGTAGTGGGATCGAGCCCCATGTCAGGCTCCCTACTGAGTGGGGAGTCTGCTTCTCTCCCTCTGCCCCTTCCCCCACCCGCAAGCGAGCATGAGCTCTCTCAAATAAATCATTAAAAAAAATCTTACATGGCTATAAAAAGGAATAAGGACCTTTACATTCCGACAGAAGGATGTCTAAGACACATTGCTAAGCATAAAAAGCCAGTTGAAAGCAATATGTTGTGAATCACAATTAATACAAAAAAATAAAGGGAGGGGCGCCTGGCTGGTTAAGCAAACAACTCTTGGTTTTGGCTCAGGTCCTGATCTCAGGCTCCATGCTCAGTGCAAAGTCTACTTGAGATTCTCTCTCCCCCTCCCTCTGCGCGTCTCACTCATGCTCTCTCTGTCTCTCTCTAGCTAAAATAAATCAATCTTTAAAAAAAAGAAAAAATAAAAAAAGTGAAAAGAATATATAGACACTATATACAATATGATTACAAAGTAAAGCCATGCCTACTCTATGACCCAGCAATTCAAATCAGACTCTACCCCCCAGAGACATCTGCCAACTGACCAAGGAGACAACTCCAAGTATGTTCACTGAGCCTTGCTTGCAGGCGCAAAAACTGGAAACAATAAGTGTCTGTTAACAGGGGAAGGAATTAATGAACCATGGTATTTCTACTAGAGACCTGGAACTTCTGCAGCAGCTGGGAAAAGGAAGGGCACAGAGAGTTCATCAGGGCACCAACAGTCCAGGGATGGTAGACAGAGAGTGTAAGAAACAGCCAACTACGGAAAAGCCTGCTCTGACCTTTGCTCATCAGGAAAGCCCCCAAGCAGACGTGTAGAGGATGGCAAGGAGAGCAAGGTAGGAGGCAAGGGGACCAGAAGGTCTCAGGCAATTAGTGGGGTATGAACCCAGGAAGGATGGGTCCATCTTCCCAAAAAAGAAGAAAGAGATGCAGGTGAGAGTATGTGAGGAGAGCAACAGATACATTGGTCTTGGCAAGGGAACTGAAAATTCAGGAGTCATTTTCTTTTGCTAGGGATTCCAGATGTCTTTGAAGTTCAAACTCACTGTCCTCCCTCCTTCTATATCACAGACAAAAAATTAAACCCATCTGGGAAAAGTTAACCCAACTCTCCCTTTGATCCCCATTCAATCCTGACCTTAGCCTATCTTCCTCACCTTTGCTCT